GAGGTAACCTTCATGGTTTCCTGACATTGTGTACAGTATTTGCGGTATTTGTTATGATGACAAAATTGCTGATAGATAGGATACTGTAATGATAAAAGAACTCTTTATGAACATCAAGGGCAGACCACATTTGATATAAATATCACCTTGGCCCTCTTGGAACAATTCCAAATGAGCATCTGATCTAAATTACAAGCTATGCCAAATAAATGGCTGCCTTATTTATTGTGAATACAAAAGGAGGTGAAGAGTGGTAAGTAAGGAACATTAGGAATTCCACAACCTGACACAACAGATGGCAGTTCTACTGAAATTAGTTCAAATGGAAAAAGGTCTCCCTTTGCTTCCTTCTAGCTGAAACTCTTTCAAAGTTAAACGTTCTGCATCTGCTAAATTCCTTATGAAGTTAGGACTGTGATTTAAATAAAATAAAGGAATATGGAAATGAATTGCACACCAATGACTAAAATACATGTTACTCATTTTCTGCCCAAGTCCGATACACTGGAACCTTCTTCTTAACCCTTGGGAGCATGGGTGTAAATAGATTGTAGTAGTGTTAATTTAAAGCAGAACTGTCATGGTTTATGGACTTTGCAGAATTTTCAAAGATCCCCAATGGTGAAATCGGGGCAGGCAAAGGTGAGTTCTGTTTACCTGAACCTGTTCCTTGTGGGTGAGGTCACCCTCTTTTGGCAGGTCCTCTTCTGCTCCTGGCCCTCCAGAAATGCCATTCAAATTTAAATAGAAGTTAATTTGCAAACAGAAGAACATTTGAAGAGATCCGTGAAATTACTTTATTCACTTAACACACATTTATGTATCCATATTGTTACAAGACTCTATTGAACCTTCATATTATTATACTAGTTTTGGCATTTAAATATTTTTTTTCTTATTGTTGTTGTGTTCATTATTTATGATGTCAAAGAGATTCACTAGATAGATTTTAAAATCGCTCATCATTACTTGACGATCAGAGAATGATTTGTGTTCATATGGATATAAAACTTAAATAGTTAAGTGAAAAATATATCAAAAAGCATCAATCAACACATTTGTAAAAGCTAAAACATCCTACAAGAAATTCCTGAAATGACTCCATCTTGTAGTATTACCGCAATTCCTCAAATGTTGAAACACTTACGCAAACAAATACAACAAAAAACTGTTTGCTTTTAATATAATTCATGTCACTTTTATTTTACAATGAAACATATTGATTTGATAATTCTTATCCCCCGGACAGAATATAAATAAAATAGTAAAAGTTGTCACGTGGATATGTAATGAGTGGTAAAGTTAAAATCTTCTCTTCGTAAAGGACAAATGAATGGCCTGGCATCCCCCCATTGCAAGGAGTCAAAATGTTTTTGAATGGTTTGACTTCTTATCTGGGGTCTGCTGGGCACCACTCTCCACCTCCACTATCATAGCCAGAGAAATTGAAGTTTCTCATTAGCAACTTTTGTTATCTCTTCTGAGCTAAGCCCAACTTAGCTTATTGCTTGCGAGGACTTCCTGCTGAGGGATTTCCATTTCTACACCCATAAGGAGGACAATGGCGCCTGGCCCAGGTAAGATGTTAAAAAATTCAAATACAGTATGACTTCTTACAATGGTTTGGCTGAGCACAAGTGCACTCCTGAACCATAGTGACTACGAAGAGCCAACTGTGGGTATGGTGCCTGAAGTGTTCCTTTAAGTTCATAAAGCAAAGCTTTTTATACATCTGCTCTTACTGTTAATCCAAAGACAGATCAACAACCCAGTTTAAAACTATCTCAAATTATGCCACTGAGAGAGGAAAAAAAGATCCTTTCTTATCCCCAAACTTTAAATGAAAAATGTCCTTGTGACCATCAAACTACAGACAAAAAAAAAAAGAAGGAACTATACACACTAGACTTGAGCATCAGTCATTGTTCAGAAAGAGATTTGGCGGAGTTTGAGCTAGTTGTCTGCTCAGTCTAATTTTGTATATTCCAAGTGCCATGTTAACATAAAAAACTGAGCAAATGACAAAACGATGGCTGGACATGTTCAGATGCTTCGGTATTAGGCGATCCACAAGTGGCACCAAAAAAAAGAGACGACTGATGGAAAAAAAGATGATTTATGGCTACGAGACAATCACAAAATGTTGCTATTATTCACCAAAAAACTATAATTTAATAATAAACCAAAAAGGGTATAGTGGGGAAAAAATTGTGATTGAAAACCCCTTCCACCTGAAGTCTATGGATAGTTAAATGACCCAGGGGGGCTGGATGGTGGTGTTAACACTATAGGGTCAGGAATAAATGTTTGTGTTCCTGACCCTATAGTGATCCTTTAATCTATATGCTTCTGTGTTCCATGTTCCGAATTCCCATCACATTAATATATAAAAAAAGAAAAATAGATTAATGATGAATTAAAGAGAAACAAGCAACAGAGATTTTATATAAAGACCATGTGGTGTTATATGCCTTGACTTCTAAAAGGCTCCTATTGTAAGAATAGTTTACCCTATTTTTACAATGATCAAATTAATTATGACTATACACGGGAATGGAAAAATTATTTTAAATGTATAAGCACACTATGGATTTAGATTCGGTAAGCCCAAGGTGTTCCACAAATCTGTCTGGCATGTTCAATTCCACAAAGAGAAATGATTGAGTTAATTTCAAAGTTGGTATTGCAGGAACTAAAAAAATAATTCTGAATTCCTCTATGCACTGATGAAATAAAAATATGCAGGTAGAATTTTCTGGTGCATGTATTCCCACCTTTCGGCATGCTCACGTTAGAGCCACCGTAAAGCAGCAAGCGTGTAGAAAGTAGCCCATTAAATTTCAAAATGTAATATACTTTGTCCATAATTACATAATGGTACCAGAGCTAACGTAACTGGATTTGAAACCTTGCACAGTCTGGGTTTTAGGGTTAAAGTAAAACTAAAAAGATATTAACACAATATTAGGAAAATTCCTGAAAACATATTCAACATATGCAGCGTGTTTTCGTGATTCCAGCATTTTAACCTTGAGAAATGCATGAAATAGCTAAAAAAAATAATAAAATACTATAACAATTTTAATTAAAAGATACCTAGTATTTTTAAGAATGATCTTTTGAGAGGAGCAGAAAACATTTATTTAATACCATTTCTAAGAGATGCTAATGTGCAGGAAATTACAGTGATTAAATGTGAAATCAATACATATAAAAATAAACTGCAGTGCTTGTTTAGTAGAGAGAATTTACTAAACTCAGGACATTGATATTTCTTTACTAAGGCAAAGAGATTAAGTAGAACAATGAGAGTTAAAATGGAAATCATAGATTGCATAAAAGGATCATGTCTATTTTTAATAATAATCAATAACTACAAATTACTTATGAAGAGTTTTTCTCCTTAGCGAAATGGATAAATGAATTATATATCAATATCAAGCTCTTGGAACATAAATACAATAAGCAATTGTTTCAAGAATATTCTGTAACAACTTCCCCCTCTCCCCCCCATAAAAGTGACTTCTATTTACATGTTACCAAAGAAAACACACAAGTTGAGTGAGTCATACAGAGACTAAATCCAAAGACAAAATAAAATGCAAACAACGTGGTAAATGAACACTAGTTGCAATGTATATTTGTTCTTTATAGCCAATGTGGGAAGTAGCTGTACTTTAAAACCTTGGCAATGGTCCCCTGTCCAGGGGGTGAGCAACATTCTGTAGGCAAAATTGCAAACATTTTCTTGTTCTTTATGATTAAACAGTCTTTGTTTTACCACCTTAGAGCTGGGCATGAATCCAAAAGTCTTACACCTGATACAAGAATAAGGCATGGCTCCAATTCATAAGGTAAAGGTAGGGTTTGCAAATAATCATCTGTAATTTACTGTATTTTGCTTGGATGCATTTGAATATTTAACTTATTTTAATCTTAAAATTATGCTTAATCCTTTATAAAGTTTGATTTTTTTTACGTTGCCAAACATGCATCCAAATGGTTTAAAGTAAGATGTGGATAAAGTAAGATGTGGATAATCTCATGTGGTAAGATCTAAATATCATAATTTATCTTCATTTATAGAAACAAGTGTTCAAGGATTAAAACTTTTTTAATGAGTATCTTACTTCTGTAATAAAGTCCAGCGATGAGGTCAGAGTTATAGTCATACATACAAACTTAACGACAATATTATGAAATTCAGGATAATAATTTATGCTTTATTTCCTGGACAATCCATGCAGCATCACTAATGGGTACTTGTCCATAGAAATACAGATTATAAAATAGACCTCCCCTCACCTAACCCTCAGTCTTGTCCCTGTCCTCATGGCTACTGGACACTTTCTATAGTTTATAGGTATTTTATACATACATGATTGTGGTTCCCTTTACTTTTGGTACACGGTTCACCTGGGAGAATTCACTTTATGTGGACTTAAGACTGTGTATGGGCTTAATATATGATGTGCTTGGTGTCACACTTAAATCAGTTCAACAAAAAGGCTATTGCTTATCAGGTACTTTACCTTCCTTCACTTCGTTTTTGGAAATGCCATTTACATATGCGCTTGCACTTTGATGCACGAGTTTGGGGCCACATACTCGATTCTGCCAGCATACTGCTCAGAAGCCAGAACGTGGCTGCCTATGTGCTTTGCCAGTCCAACAAAGGCAAAGTTGCTGCAAGATGACGGGATTGCTCCTGCAATGATGGGATTGTCTGAGAACCAATGAGAGTGTTCAGAGCTCATATTTAAAGGACCACTATAGTCACCCAGACCACTTCAGCTCAATGAAGTGGTTTGGGTGGCAGGTCCCCCAAGTTTTAACCCTGCAGCTGTAAACATAGCAGTTTCAGAGAAACTGCTATGTTTACATTGCAGGGTTAATCCAGCCTCTAGGGGCTGTCTTCCTGACAGCCGCTAGAGGCGCTTGTGCGATGCTCAATGCGAAAATCGCATTGACCACGCAGAACGTCCATAGGAAAGCATTGAGCATGTTTAAAACTGAACAATTTGATTCAGTTCATTTCAAATACAGGATACCTAGAATTTTGGAAATTCCCAAGATAGGACAAGTTCGTCTTGTCTCTAACACAGAAAAAAGCATGCAAAAAGAAGTACTGACAGAGGATCTGAACATTCTTTTGGAAGATGGTGCAATCATGAAATTTCCCATTATGGAAAGGTTTACAGGAATATATTTACATTTGTTCCCAAGCATTAGAAAAATGAAGACTAGTGTTGAATTTACGCAAGCTCAACAAGAGTTTGTAAGGAAATTTAGAATCGAATCTCTCTGGTTTATTGCACAAGCAATTCATCAAGGGGTTTGTCTTGTCTTGATAGGTCTTGTCTTGAGAGATAACTAAAAAAGGTGAAGGGGGAGGCGGCGCCACAGGTTAAAAAAAAACCTGATTGTAAACTATACAAGCACATATACAAGACACTATATAAGAGAAAATGCATACCAGATAAAAAAATAAAAAAAAGTGTTTGAAATGTGGATAATGAATAATAATCAAGAGTCCAAAAAGTAAGTCCAAAAGAGTCTGTGCTGGATAAATACAGCAAAAAAAGTCCAAATAAAACCGTGTATAAGAAGTCAATCACAATCTTGTCAGAGAAGTATTCCTCAGTAACGTATGGACATGGGATATTCGTGAAATCCTTACTATTTTTAGAGGTATTTTTAGGCCATATTAGGCAGCAACGATAAGAGAAAAAAAAATAATAATTAAAAACAAAAACAAAAAAAAGGTCCTTTAACTTCTTTTCTTCTGTCTTCATATTCCTGGTCTATTCATGTTATGGTGGTCTTTATCCATTTTGATTTCTTCGTTCAATCCACTGTCTGACGTCTTGGGGTGTCTTGTAGAAATTCCATCTATTATCGCTATATACACTTAAAGTCGCCAAAGAATTTAATGTTGTGAGATTTTAATATAGTAATCTCTGCAGAAAAATGTCTTTTTTGTAGTCTTATTATATGAGAGTAGTCTTGGAATGCGTGTATATTTCTCAGCGGGTTTTCTAACTTATTTGGGGATTTGATTGCTTTGAAGACCTGATCTTTTATCTGGAAGGAGAAAAAAAATTACTATTACATCACTTGGGGTATTTTCTGCGATTCCCCTTGGTTTAGGGAGTCTATGCCATTTATTCATTAGAAATGGATATAATGTAATGTTAACTCCCAATTTTTCAAATAACAGTTTATTACAGTTAAATGCTTGGCAATCAACCTCCTTTCAAAGCATACTCACTATAATTTTCATGACCCCCCCCTAAGTAGCATATTAAAAATGACCTCTTGATAGCAGCAGTGCTAACAGTGAGGTCATATGGACTCCTACATTACTTAACACCAACCCATTTAAATTTGTTGTATATTTGTATTAATGTTTATGAGTCCAAGAGGGCATTAAAGGAGCACTATAGGGTCAGGAACACAAACATGTATTCCTGACCCTATAGTGTTAAAACCACTACTTAGCCCCCTTGGCCCCCTTTGCCTCCCTAAAGATAGTAAAATCTTACTTGTATTCAAGTCTGAAGCTGCTGCCTCTGCCTATGAACTTCCTCTGCCATCATCAGAAGTGGTGGCCTGATCCAATCACAATGCTTCCCCATTTCTCAGAGAAAAACTCTCATTAGCTGAGATTGACAAGGAGGCAGATCAGGGGCAAAGCCAGCACAGTTCAAACACAGCCCTGGTCAATCAGCATCTCCTCATAGAGATGAATTGGTCAATGAATCTCTATGAAGAAAGTTCATTGTCTGCATGCAGAGGGAGGAGATACTGAATGTTTGGATGCATTGTAGGCAGCCATGACCCAGAAAGAATCTCTAACAGCCATCTGAGGAGTGGCCAGCGAAGTTATCACTAGGCTGTAATGTAAACACTGCATTTTCTCTGAAAAGACAGTGTTCACAGCAAAAAGCCTGAAGGTAAGGATTCTACTCACCAGAACAAATTCAATAAGCTGTAGTTGTCCTGGTGACTGTAGTGTCCCTTTAATGCTCTCTCTTCTATCTGGGAATTCTTTATAAAATTCATTCAAAAAAGTAATTACAGGGATGCAACTTGAGCGTCAGTTAACACATTTAGGAAACACTATTGTCTTGATGTTAGGGTGGCTAAGGACTCTCAGTTTGATTGTGAGGTTCTCAATTCTGTTACTTATAATTTGTAAATGTGTTTCACATGTGTATTATGAGAAAGTTAGCTTGAGTATTACCCATTAGTGATGTTGCCATGGATACTGCAGGAATAAGAACATTTGTATTCATACTTGTCAGAATTTTCTTTTCCTGGTTAGATCCATGGCAGCATCAGTTACTCCCCCATTTTCTCTTGTTACTAGACTGAGGGCTAGGAGAGGGAGGGCTCTTTCAAAACCTTTATTTCTATTTCCTGTCCTGTTAGTTGAGAGGGGAGGAGCTACCCATTAGCTGTCATGGATCCAGGAAAAGAAAATTACGGTAAATATGAATTTTCATTTTTCTTAGGGGAAATTGAAGAATTTCCCCTAATAGTAAAAAAAAAACAAAAAAACAATAATATGCTTGTAGGTGTGTGTTGAAACCAAATTCTATATGAACTGAATGCAAAAAAGTCTGGTAAATTATTAGTTACAAAATCTTGTTATTTTGAGAAGTAATGTTTCTATGGTGGTGATGTGTTTTTCATAAAGCAGAGGTTATCAATTTTATTATGTATGGATAATTTTCCCCCTGTTTCTTTTTGTTTGTTTAATTTATATGTATTCCTATACTTTATTACATATATTTCATTGTTTTACAATGATTATTATTGTTAAAAATGAAAAACTTTCAATAAAAAAATATTTGACAAGAAGTAATGTTTCATATTGCAGATCAGCCTTTTTCATGTTACTCTAGCAAAAAAAGTCTAATCTTTCTCAAACTCTTTTTAGTTAATGTGAAATATATATTCTGATATTTACTGTATATAGCTGAACCTACATTTTCCTATATTGTGTCTGCACCTAAACCCTCCATCTGATCTTGGCAATATTCACACAGGGCTCTACTATTTCAGGTTCCCTATACCTGAAGATCAGTCTGTAAGAAAGCTTCCAATTGGACTGTTCCTGCATTTTTGTTTCTGGAACATTACTTTGCCAATCCTGCACCAGATTAACAGCTACCTGACCCTTGACCTGCTCTTGAGATTACACAGCTTTCCTGCCTGCTCTGACCAATGAGCTGAAACTATAGCACTTTCAGAATCGACTGGCTCTGACTCTTCAAGGTGTTTTTTTCCCATTTGACCAATGCTTCTGTTCACTCCCTGGAACATCTCTCATTTTAGTACCTATATGGTAGTGGTGTAGCAAAGATGTGCAATGTCTTTCGTCTGGGTACCAGAAGTACCACAATGATAGGACCCCAAACTCTAGCAATAGTTAAGAGGAGAACATCTCACCGCCATAGATCTAAATTTGTCATAAAGTTGTGTTTTTTAACCAAAAATAGGTAATTGGTATTAATTTGAAAACATGCCTGATTAGATATAAAATGGTTACATTGCACTACATCTAAAAGTTTTTGTTAAGAAAGCTTCCAAAGTAATATCTATGCTTTTCCCTCAACAAATTTAAATGGGTTGGTGTTAAATAATGTAGGAGTCCATATGACATCACTGCTAGCACCGCTGCTATCAAGAGGTCAATTTTAATATGCTACTTAGGGGAGGTCATGAAAATTATAGTGAGTATGCTTTGAAAGGAGGTTGATTGCCAAGCATTTAATTGTAATAAATACAATCAAAATGTGACTTTTTACTTTGGCTGTCAATGTTTAGTCCATTTTCACCATTTTGCATGGTTTTTATCAAGGAAACAGATTACCAGGAAAATAAATACAGACAATTAAGAAATCAATGCTCAATCATGCCCCATACAATACACACGATAATTATTTAGTCTTTTCCCGAAGAGTTCGGCATTCCTATACATAAGAACATGAGGAACTGGAGGAATGCAGTTAAAGCACTTACACTTTGTGTTACATGATAGCGGGTAACTTTGGAAAAAAACAATTCTGCATTCTACTAAACAGATTATGTGTAGTTTTGGGGAATTGTAAGTGTATTCTCCTTTTCTTTGTTCAATAGAGCAAAAGCATTATCTTTTAAAGCATTAAAAGAACAGTTTTTACAAATTGCCTCTGTGAATAGTCGAAGAGAAGAAATAATGTAATAGAGTAATGTCTATTGTTCTGTTTATACACAGGTTTTTTTTTTTTCAAGTGGTGATAAAAGACTGCTCATTTGCTTAAAATTGCTCCTGAGCCTGCCCTACAATTCACCTGCTCACAAACCCCTTTATAGCTGCTAAGCTTTGCAAGGAAGATACTAAGATTAATCCTGTACAGCCAATATGTTTGTTTACTAGAGAAGTTTGATTTCCTGGAGGGACACTCTTACAGGGATTTCTGAGTTAGAACAGAGAGAGATTGAAAACTGTTATCTCTCAGCTGGATAGAATAGTGGTAATGACACTGGCTTAGAATTAGAAAACCCAGGTGTGATGAGACCAATCTCGCCACATTGCATTGGAGAAGCCTGGTTGCTCGCCTGTTGCCTTTGGATTATGGCCCCATGTTAAAAGCCTTCTTTTCCCCTGCAGAAAAGGCTTATTCGTGCCTTTCTGCACAGTGGTCGGTAGATTCAATCTATCGAACTAACGCACGAATGACTGGACCACCTGGGAGCTGGAGTGTGTCGGCCAGAAGCTGCGGTTAACCGATGGGTGGCCGCCATTCATAAACCGAACACGAGGTTGCGGCCATTTTAAACACGCGAACACACAGCGATGTTCGACGCCCAACTCATGGAACTGAAAACGGACACTTATTTGCGCGAACACCGCTGAGCCGTCAGCCTCCTTGCTTCTGCATTCGGTCATTTAAACGGATGCCTGTTCATTCGGTAGTTTAAACCATATGAACAGCATTACCCCAGATAGCCACTCCGTGGAGTCTATTCGTATGGAGAACAGACTTTGTGAACACTTTAACTCCACGGCGATTGGACTGTGTGCATAGGATCTGAGCGCTATTCGGTACTTTTGTGCGCTCAGATCTGGGGATAGGTAGAATGTATATGTTTTGTGCAACAGTTGTAACTTTATACATTTTTATGTCTTTTACTGTCTTTTACTGCCATGTGGTTAATGGAGTTTTGCCTCGGTCCTGGGAGATAATTGGATTACTTACCCAATTGGATTACCCAATTTTCCCCAGGACAGAGGGAGGGAAATTAGGACGCATTGTGGGGATGTTTTACCTCTGTGTGTCTGTCATTGGTTCATGTCTTTCCTTTGTCACAGTCTCCCATTTGGTCCCCTATGGGAGTGTCCACCAGCTGGGAGACCTGCATAAATACTGGGCAGGTAGCCCTCATTAAACCAGACCACTGCTTGACCCTCAACACGGAGCTCTGTCTCATTCTTGGGGGGGATTTACTGTATGCTGATAGAGACTGATTGCTAGGAGTGTAAGCCGCTTGGGTGCTTTTCCTATTCGTCTGCTAGCAGCTATTCGTGAGGTTCCAGTTCGGGAGTTTGGAGTGCTATTTTGTATGCAGTTCAGGAGTTTGGAGCATTCCCTTATATGCGGTTCGGGAGTTTGGTGTTCTGCAGTAGCTGTGCCTGTATCTCTAGAAGGGGAAGATCTACTAGACGGTGGTTTAACCCTTTTATGCTGAGGGTGCCGTTACAATTGGTGGCAAGCGGCGGGATCGTTCCTACAGCCAGAAGGACAGCTACAGGAGACACCATTTCTTTGGATTTTACAAATTGAGGGCAACACATGTCTGAGTACAGCGACCCTGACAGCACCAGGATGGAACCAGCAGTGGAGTACGATGAGAGTGTCATGGATGCCCGAGATGCAGTTCGCAAAGGCATCTGGTACCAGGCACTGGGTATTGTGGAGTACCAGCGGGGCGAGAGACTCCCCAAGGAAGACCAGCGATTGCAAAAGCGACTAGCCTTGCCGATGCCCTTCCTGGGAGAGCAGCCCCTGGAGGAATGGGTGAAGAAATTGGAGCTCCTGGTATGGCTGTAGATGTGGCTGGAAGATGCATACCAGGCGCTCTGGTGGTATGGGGCACAGTACCTGCCCTGGACAGCCGAGCCATGACAAGCCAGAGTGAGAGGAGTTTGATGGTCCTGGCTTGTTATGGGAGTCTTTTTCAGAGCCTGAGTTTGGGAGCCCTACACAAGCCCAGTTCAGTGATCTCTTGGAGTGGAGGGAGAGCAGGTATGACTGGGACGACACTCATGAGAGTGAGCAAGACCTTGTCCACCTAGTGACCCGAGAGATGGAGCTGGAGCAGGGCTACCAAGATCTGTTCCACTCCAGTGAGAAGGCTCAGCAGGGAAGCGGAGACCCAGATCCATACCCATTCAGCTGGGCAGATATTGCAGCGTGTTACTGCGAAGAACCTCAGGTGGCTGGTGGAGATGGGACCGAGGTCTCTCCACCGGTCCTGCAGGGAATTAGGAGCCCAGTCTCCATTCCCCAGCGGAAGATACAGCAGGGAATTTGGAGCCCAAGCTCCATTCCCCAGCAGCAGGCTGAGTTACAGGGGACAGAGATAGTTGCTCCTGTCCCCCAGCAGCAGAGTGAATTGCAGGGAATTGGGAGCCTAAGCTCCATTCCCCAGTGGCAGGCTGAGTTACAGGGGACAGAGATACTTGCTCCTGTCCCCCAGCAGCAGAGTGAATTGCAGGGAATTGGGAGCCCAGTCTCCAGTCCCCAGCGGCAGTATGAGTTATTGGGAATTGGGAGCCCAGTCTCCATTCCCCAGCGGCAGTATGAGTTATTGGGAATTGGGAGCCCAGTCTCCATTCTCCAGCGGCAGTATGAGTTATTGGGAATTGGGAGCCCAGTCTCCATTCCCCAGCGGGAGATACAGCAGGGAATTGGGAGCCCAGTCTTCATTCCCCAGCAGCAGAGTATCCTACAGGGAACAGAGAGCCCAGTCTCTTTTCCCCAGCAGCAGGACTCTGTATTGGGAGCAGAGACAGTCGGTCTCCCTCCCCCGCGGCTGGAAGTATATATGGGAGAGGAGCTTGTTACCCCCCCTCTCCACAGCGGCAGCTTAATGTACCAGGGGGGGACAGTAAACCCCACAACCGTGCAGATGGGATACAGGGGGTAGGGACAGTCGGTTCTGCCCCCCAGCGACAGGGCTGTTTAGTCAAAGGGGAGACAGTCGGTCTCCCCCTTCAGCAGCAGAGCTGTGTATCTAAAGGGGAGACAGTCGGTCTCCCCCTCCAGCAGCAGAGCTGTGTATCTAAAGGGGAGACAGTCGATCTCCCCCTCCAGCAACCAGGCTCCAACCAGACTACTCCCGTGGTAGTGCTGGCACCAGGGCAGAGTACCGATGGTCTCTGCCCACTCAGCAACCCACCAAGGCAGCCTACCAGTCCCCCACACAGCCGTGGTGAGGCACCTGGACATGGACAAAGTTCTCCTCTACCCAGGTGTAGTAACAATTTATTGTGGGTGGGCTGTATTACTGATTGTCTGTTGTGGGTGGGCTGCTGGACTAACAGGGGCACTGACCGTCAGGAGGTCAGATACCCTGTTAGTCTGTTTGGAAAAGGGGAGAGATGTGATGAGACCAATCTCGCCACATTGAATTGGGGAAGATTTACTAAACGGCGGTTTAACCCTTTTATGCTG